ATCAGAAGCTAATCTTATTATGGATCTTATTATCATTTATCTTAATAATTTTGATAATCCTCTCCATCTTTCTATAAAACCTTTTATTCTGAATCTGTTACCAGAAAAAAAACCATAGTCAGCCACTGAAAAGCTTCAACAGTTCCAATGATCAAATATAGACAAACAGACAGATAATATTAGAAAGAGAAGTAGCCTTCAATATTATTGGCAGGCAAGTGCAAACCTTTGTTAATTACTGTATAGTAATAGCAATTTCATTGTGATTTTTTTTTTTGAGGAGGAACAAATGTTTCCTTTACATTATTAATTTTTTTAAAAAATGTCAGTGCTCCAAAGCGCCCTATCAAGCACATGCAAAAATAAATGTGCACAGATTTGCATTTATGTTGTTAAATTTCCTCCTTCCCGGAACATCTCGGCCCGCATTGTAGGTCCCCTCCGATGTTCCCCTAAGCTTTGGGAATGTCTTGTATGGGAGGCAGTTTGGGAAGAAACAGACCCAAAAGCCACATCTGATGCAGCACCCTAATAATCTAGTGTTTATTTATATAGTGCCACTCTATATAAATATCAGTTACAAAAGGTCCTTGCCCAAAGGGGCTTACAATCTGGAACAAATACAGAGAAATGGGAGGGAAATGGGGGCAGGGTTGTTTATGAATTTATGATACTTTCAAGCAATGAAATGCAGAGGTGAGGTCAAGCAGCTTCTGAACATGTATTGAACAAAGTCATCTTTCATCCTCTTTGCTTTTGTTTTTCTTGTCTTCCTTTGTTGCCGTGTCAGTGGAATGCTGTTTTATTTATTTATTTTCATGTATTTGCCTCCAAACGCTCTTGCCAAATGGATGAATGTCACAAATGTCATTAAAATTCCCAGTTGGACCAGCTTCTAATGTGTATCCAACAACAGAGCTTTCTCATTTTGTACGCATGCCAGAGTCATTCATTGTTTTGTTTTAACATCAAGGTTCCTGCTTTTATGTAACAGTTAGTTTTGCAGGCAAATCCACAACTAGTGGATCAATTCTGTGCTGATCTGTCATTCGAAGGCACCTGGTACTACCAGGGAAAGTGGAACTTCACTTTGGCCAGCACCACAAGAGATGTACTTGTCACAGACGTTTCTTCCTGTGATTCTGTTCCTTTGCAGTCTCACTGAGGTCTGTTCTCCTTTTTCTGGCAATTTTATTTGCATGGATCTTTTTCTCTCCTAAGAGTTCTGATAGAGAAGTGCAAACAGGGATACTTCCAATCATATGCACACAAGAAGTTGATATATTTCCTTAATCAATGGTCTCCTTCTCTGCCTTCCATTTTGTAGTTCTCTGACAATAGCTCAATCTTGAGAAACATACTCGTCAAACACAGTACTAAGACCCTGTTCAGGGTACCAGGTTTGGTTCGATACATTCTAAAAAGTGAATCCTGAAAGATGAATCTGAGTGGAGAGGCCTCATTCAAGACCAAAGATGAGGAGAAGCTGAAGGACATTCACTTCAGACACTGATGAATATGTGTATAAATACAAGCATGAACTATGGAACTCAAAATCTAGTGTTCCCTCAGAAGCTACCCAGTGCTGTTTTTCTTAGGAAAAAAAGTGACAGGACTCACCATGAATGCTCCCTTGTTCTCTTATAATGGCAATGGCGCCCACCTGAGAGGTGCTGGAACTGAGTTCTGATGAGTTCTGGCTGGGGAAAAAAGCCCTGCCTATCCCTGTGCTTTGTGCCACAAACACCAAGTTTTGTTCCGTCATCTCTTAGTTGACCCTAACATGTCCTCTCACAGTTTGTAGTCAATGCAGACAAAGTAACACAGGCAGCTAATGACAGACAAAGCTAAATAATGACAAAGAAGAAACAACCATTACCAATACAAACATTCATGCCGCCATTGACTGTGTGGTGAGTTTATTGGGGCTGCTTCCATAGAGAGGATAGTCTCCTTCCTCAATCTGGAGATTCCCTATGCAGGGAGGTGGGACCAATTCGGATGGTCCGCCCCTGCCACTTAATGGATCCAAATGGTTTCCAGAGAGTGGTAGGGGATGCTTTATCCCATGTTGATGGCCTTTCAGCTGATTCCCTGGTGGCCCGCTGGAATGTGGAGTTAACCAGGGCTATTGACTGTTTGGCTCCGAAGCGCCCTCTCCGATTGCATGGAGCCCGGACAGCCCCATGGTTTTCCACGGATGTGAGGGCAATGAAATAATCGTTGAGACGGCTAGAGCGCCAGTGGCGGATAACTCATTCTGAATCTGACCGGACACAGGTTAGAGCTCAACGTTGAGCCTACCAAGTGGCGATAGCGACAGTGAAGAAGAATTTCTTCACCGCCTCTATTGCATCTGCAGAAAACAGCAGCAGGAGACTTTTTCAGGTGGTTCACAATTTAGCGGAACCACCTGCAACATCGGGGCCCAGTACAGGCCACATGTTCTCCTGCAATGATTTTGCAAAGTTTTTTGCTGATAAAATCACTCAGATTCGGGAAGAAGTAGGGAGCAGGGCCGGGGCGGGAGAGTGCTAGAGTTTTGTCTAGTCAAGTTGAGTGGGATCAATTCCAATCTGTTACCTCCGAGGATGTGGACAGGCTGCTTGGACGAGTGAAACCAACCACCTGTCTCCTGGATCCTTGCCCATCCTGGCTTATAAAAGCTAGCCGGGAAGGACTGGGCGATGGGCTTCGTGGGGTGGTGAATGCTTCCCTCCATGAGGGAGCCTTCCCAGACCCGCTGAAAGAAGCGGTTATTAAACAGCTTCTTAAAAAACCATCTTTAGATGCGGCCACGATGGCCAACTATCGCCCAGTCTCAAATCTTCCATTCTTGGGCAAGGTGATTGAGCGAGCGGTTGCTGAACAACTCCAGGCACGCCTGGAAGAAGCGGACCATTTGGATCCCTTCCAGTTGGGATTCAGGCCTCATCATGGGACTGAAACTGCCTTGGTCGCACTGGTTGATGATCTCCGGCGGGCTAGGGACAAAGGTGAGAGCTGTTTCCTAGTTCTGCTGGATCTCTCAGCGGCATTTGATACCATCGACCATAACATCCTTCTGGACCGTCTTGAGGGGCTGGGAGCTGGGGGCACTGTCATACAGTGGTTCCGCTCCTTCCTCCTGGGCCGTGTTCAGAAAGTGGTGGTGGGGGATGAGAGTTCAGACCCCTGGGCTCTCACTTGTGGGGTGCCTCAGGGTTCTGTCCTCTCCCCCCATGCTTTTCAACATTTACATGCAGCCGCTGGGAGAGATCATCAGGAGGTTTGGGCTGGGTGTTCATCAGTATGCGGATGATACCCAGCTCTTCCTCTCTTTTAAATCAGAACCAGTGAAGGCGGTGAAGGTCCTGTGTGAGTGTCTGGAGGCGGTTGGAGGATGGATGGCGGCTAACAGATTGGGGTTGAATCCTGACAAGACAGAAGTACTGTTTTTGGGGGACAGGAGGCGGGCAGGTGTGGAGGATTCCCTGGTCCTGAATGGGGTAACTGTGCCCCTGAAGGACCAGGTGCGCAGCCTGGGAGTCATTTTGGACTCACAGCTGTCCATGGAGGCACAGGTCAAATCTGTGTCCAGGGCAGCTGTTTACCAGCTCCATCTGGTACGTAGGCTGAGACCCTATCTGCCTGCGGACTGTCTCGCCAGAGTGGTGCATGCTCTGGTTATCTCCCGCTTGGACTACTGCAATGCGCTCTACGTGGGGCTACCTTTGAAGATGACTCAGAAACTACAACTAATCCAGAATGCGGCAGCTAGACTGGTGACTGGGGGCGGCCGCCGAGACCATATAACACCGGTCTTGAAAGACCTACATTGGCTCCCAGTACGTTTCCGAGCACAATTCAAAGTGTTGGTGCTGACCTTTAAAGCCCTAAACAGCCTCGGTCCAGTATACCTGAAGGAGCGTCTCCACCCCCATCGCTCTGCCCGGACGCTGAGGTCCAGCACCGAGGGCCTTCTGGCAGTTCCCTCATTGCGAGAAGCAAAGCTACAGGGAACCAGGCAGAGGGCCTTCTCGGTAGTGGCGCCCGCCCTGTGGAACGCCCTTCCATCAGATGTCAAAGCGATAAACAACTACCTGACATTCAGAAGACATCTTAAGGCAGCCCTGTTCAGGGAAGTTTTTAACGTGTGATATTTTACTGTATTTTTGGTTTCTATGGAAGCCGCCCAGAGTGGCTGGGGAGGCCCAGCCAGATGGGCGGGGTATAAATAATATATTATTATTATTATTATTATTATTATTATTATTATCAATGTCACACAGGGAATCTCTGAATTTATGGAGGAGAAAGTGTGGGACAGCAGTAGTTGGAGGAGAATGCCGCATGGATAAGGGAGAATTAAAGGAGGCGCGCGAGGCTCACAATCCACTTTAAGCTGAGATATGTACGGGCCCTTATTCATTCAGGCCTTTGTTTAAAGTTGAAGTGCTACGCTGTTAAATGGATATGCTGATTCTGTTTACGTTGGCATGTTCTATTGACAGATTGCTATGTATTTTATTATGTTTAATTGACATTGCACCCCACTTTGGGACTACAGACAGTGAACAGCAAGTAGCGAATTTTCTAAATGAATACATTTGTTCAATGGGGCTTACTGCCAGCTTTAAAGCGCATGTCTTAGCAATGATGTTGTTGTTATGGATGATGACACACCAGGTTTCAGTAACCAACTGAAAGATAGGTTGCAGCGGGAAAGTAGATCTCAAAGATCAAATCTGGTTTGCCTGCCAAGACAGTAAGACATTAACAGCCATCAGTGGAGTAAAAAAAAAATAGCGGGACAAAAGTTTTGAAAGAAAAACTTCAAAGCTAAGAAGGAGGAGACCCTCAGCAGAAAGGAAGGGGGTGGATTGCCTCTGAATGGATCCCTACATCTCAAAATGGTCATACTGTCATATTGTCCCTTTGCTATCTTTAACTATAAACCCCAGACTGAAACAAATGAATCCGTTATATTTAGCACTACAAATAGTCTGCTTAGCTGAAAAGGACAATTGCTCAGTTGTAGAGCATTTGCTCTGCACACAGAAGGTCTCAGGTTCAATCTCTGGCATCTCCAGGTGGCGTTGGAAAGAATGCTGCCTGAAATCCTTGAGAGCTGCTGGCCATCAACATAGGCAATACTGACCTAGATAAGTCAATGAATAAGGAAGCTTCCTGTGTTCCTGTGTCATTGTCCTCATGGTTCTTGTACTCCCGCTCTTTTATTTTATCCCCCTTTTTCTTTTTTGGGAATCACTTTAAGTGTGTTTAGGCAAGATCCTCCAAGAAGAGTCCAAAAGTCATTGAGAGCTAAGAACAGAAGAAAGGAGAACATGCACTGTGCATCTTTGTCAGGGCAAAACATTCTCCTGTACTGTAGGATATTTCACACTAGGCTTCTCCATAAACTGCGGAGTGGGGGGCTGGTGGCCCAACAACCCTTCCGTGACTCCTGTTGAATTTATTGGCTTCTTTGCATAAACAGATTGTCTATGTTGTATCCTCTTGGGGCTCGACTTGCTACCTTTGTGACGTCTGCATTCTAAAACAAAAGCATTGCCTGTTATTTACACCCATTTTGTTCTCCTAAACTGTGTACACACTTCTTCTAAAGCGGAACTGCAGACCTGTTCCTCAGGAGTGACTCACATGTGACAAAGCACACAGAGAAATGGGAAGAAGCTCTCCCCATTTGGCATATTCCTGACTGCCTGGTAGAGAAATTCATTTGAATTGTTGCATCATGATGGCCAACATGAAAGGAAAGCGATTCATACATCAAACCATGCGCCCTGCCATCCTCTGTAGTCAGGTTTGCTTTGGTGTTTGTTTTTTTCCACCGTTTTACAAGTTTCCCTGACGTTGAGTCATAAGTTCAAGAACTGTGTGAAGAAGGAGACCTGAGCTTTCATCATCCTTCTCCTCCCACTTGCTCTTTAGAAGTCACAGATACTTGGCTCCTGCTTCAAGTCCTCCTGTTTGCAAACTGAGCAGCACTGGCAGTGCCTGGGATCAGATTAGCCACAGGAAGGATGGGAAAGGTTAATGATATGTGCAATAGCACAAACAGGATTCCTGAATGAGCTTGCAAAGAGGTGGTGAGGATCATTTGGCAGAACAGCCTATTTTCCCATGCGCTGTTCAATAAAATGTCTTAAGGCTAGTTCATACAACCATCAGGACCCACGTGTAATCCACTTGGAAAGCCAGTTCTTGTTTCTTTTGTCTTTGAATAGCAAAGGCATACCTTTGCACCCTTGGCAAGGAGCTCTATTGGCATCCACCCCCCAGAAAAAATCTGAGAAGCAGGCAAGGTTGCCTGGAGAGGAGGAACATGCCTCCTTGCCCCTGCACTGCTCTTTGCCCAAAAACCACTCCAAGGAACCCCTTTCAATCTCCCCCTCTAACAGGTTTTCCTGCTGGAGATCCCAACGAATTTCTTCTGCGGGTGGAAGCAGGTACTGTATCGCTGAGCTAGGGGGCAGCACTCCAAGTGTTGCAGGAGAACTTCACCTGAAAGGTGATCTTTGCTTCGTCGTCATCTCCTTAGCCTGTGCCTTTGGCAGGTGCCAGTGTCGCCAGCCCTAGGTACACCTCCGCCAATTAGCCACCAAGATGCAGGTGCTGTTCGGGATTCAGTGTGGGATACGCCATGGCAAATGTCAATGCAAGCTCCAACATGTGTCTGAAAGTGGAATCCTGTGGCAGTGGCCCCACGTACACACTGTGAAAGAGACCTTGCCAATTTCCCAGCCTGAAATCCTCTCCCAATGCTCTAGCAATGAGGGAGGGTGAGCTCATCCTGATCCTTCTTCTAATAGTCTATTGCTGCTGATACAGGCTTGGTCCAAGAATTTCTCCTTGGCCTTCCCCACCAGTTTCATGAAGGGCATATCGTAAGAGGCATACACTGGATGGTTGTGAAACCTCATCTCCTTTGAAGCCTCATGAGAGTTTAATGGTTTGGGTGCTGTGCAACATGAGCTGTGTCTTCTGCAAAGGTTGAGTCTCGGTGTGCAACTGTCTCCAACATGTACACAGATTGCCGGACTGAGTAGGATTTTTAAGTGGCCACCACATATATAGATGCTCATGTTAGGAAAGCTATACAGAAATGGCAGCAAGCTTTCAGGAAGATGTGAAGTATTTGCTATCTAAATGGTGTGTGGGTGTGCTTTATATAAATACAATCCTAGAGCTAATGAAGAGATTTAGGTCAGCTGAAGCCTGTCCATGCTTGCATTTTTCAAACTCTAAATAAATAATAAACTCACGGGTCTAAAAAGAATTGCTAGGTAGTAAAGGATGGACTCTTTGACTCAGTTCAGAATTGGGTAGGAAAAACTGAACTATCCGTTCCGCACTCACCTCACCACCTCCCTGGGAAATATTTCAGTTTATTCTAAAATTTGGACCCCATCTGCTTCCAGTGACATCATTGGGGGCCTCCCTTCCACACTTCCCATGCCCTTCCCAATCAGTCCTTGTATCCCACCATAACCTCCCCTCCGTGGTGGCGGTGGCAATGTGGTCGTCTTTCTGATAGGTCTCCGTTCCTCTCTGGTGCTTTGAATGCACCTGTGAATTTAGCTCCCCCCCCCCCATGAGTGAGAGATCCACTCAACCATTTAAAACTCAAGAATAACTATAAGGAAGCTGTGATGCCTTGGGCAAAGTTGCAGGCCAGCCACACTGCCTTCCCTCATGTATCTACGTATGCTATGTAAAAGAAGAGCCCAGGATATTCAACTTTCAACTTTCTGGACGTGTTGTGTCAGGTTATGCAAAGTTCAGTTGCATCACCTACTTTATAACAATTGCACAGTTTTATCCTGACGCCTGACACAATGCCAAAATATACATTCATCCGTGAAGTCTCGATAAGTGAAAACTAGAACACTGGAAGACTCGGAACATTAAGTTGAGAGGAAACCAAGGTCCCCAATAAAGCATCTGGGAACCATCTTGAGGATAGCGATCTCTGTAGATCACGCTGGGGAACCTTTCGCAGCCTGAGGGCTCCATGCCAGTCTTGGGTGGGGTCAAAGGCAAAAGTGGGTGAGCAACAAATATAAATGTTACCTTTGCACACTAGGGTAGTTTCCAGGCACACCCACACCTCCGCATCCTCCATCTAGGCATTATCAGAGTTACTCAAGGAGCAAAGCAGAGCCAGGGAGGGGCAGGGCCTGGGGAGAATTCTGAGGGCCACATGCAGCTCCTGAGTCTGAGATTCCCCACTCCTCCTATAGGTGATCAGGGAAAAGCAGCTTATTTTTGAACTCCTGTGAAGCTGGATAGCTAAGAAGCACCTGTCACAGTTGCCATTGGCACAGATTACCCCGTCTTAGGGCAGTAAATTGGGGCAAATGATTCATTGGCTCCATTCTATATTATAAAGGTAAAGGTAAAGGGACCCCTGACCATTAGGTCCAGTCGTGGCTGACTCTGGGGTTGTGGCGCTCATCTGGCTTTATTGGCCGAGGGAGCCGGCGTACAGCTTCCGGGTCATGTGGCCAGCATGACTAAGCCGCTTCTGGCGAACCAGAGCACCGCACAGAAACGCCGTTTACCTTCCTGCCAGAGTGGTACCTATTTATCTACTTGCACTTTGACGTGCTTTCGAACTGCTAGGTTGGCAGGAGCAGGGACCGAGCAACGGGAGCTCACCCTGTCACGGGGATTCAAACCGCCGACCTGATCGGCAAGTCCTAAGCTCTGTGGTTTAACCCACAGCGCCACCCGCATCCCACATTCTATATTGTAGTGTGATTTTATTTTATTGTATTAAAACTTTACTTATGGGTTTCACTTCACACCCATTTCTTCTCAGGAACCTTACGTCTGTAGATTAGAAGATGGTACTTCAGAAAGTGGGTCCACTTTGAACATCTGATTTCTAGAGAAGCCATCTCTAGGCTAGTAGGGCTGTTTCCTCCTGCGCAGAGGATTGGGGTCACACAGCCTTTGAGCAAACTCTTCCAGGCCCCATCAGTGCTGCTTCTCAGTCTTCCTCCCTGCATTCCAGTCGCAATTTCCAGTGGAGTGAAGGGTAGCTGCAGTTTGAACCAAAAAGTTTAAAGTGCCAATAATTTGTTTTCAACTGTTTTTCAACTGTTGTATTTTACATTGCTGCAGGACCTTTTGCTGAAGGGCAGGTAACACTAATACTAATAAGAAAAATAAAAGTAAGGTGTGTGGATGGAATCAGGGCCTCTCCAGAGTCCATAATGAAGCTGTGGTATGGATTTACGGTACTGTCAATTTTGGTTTTAAAACCGTCAATTTCACTGAGAGCCAGTGTAGTGTAGTGCAGGGCCAGAGTGCAGGGTATGGATGCTGGAAGGAAACAGAGTTTCAAGTTCCTACTTGGCTCTAAAGCTTGCTGAATTACTTTACATAAATTCCTGTCCGTCAGAGCCAAACCACACATAACACAGACAATGTCAGAAGACTAAGGGCCAAACCGCATGTGACCTGAAAGATTTATGAGCTCTCAGCTTTTTAAAAATAAAAATAAAAATAAGCTTCAACAAAGGCACAAGCAACTCCAGATTAGATCAGACTAGTAGTACTGAGAAAGAGGGTGTTTCACTCTTCTACCTGCACTGTTTCCCCAGCCAGTTTGCCCCTGGAAGCTGCTATTTGCCTGTTAAGGGATAGGTGGAAAATACAACTATGCTGCCTTCCGTGTAGTTTGGCCCTCATTGCACACATCACTGACTCTTCCTAGAACAGGAGGTTTGTTTATTACTTAATCCAAGTTTTCCACATCTGCCACTGCATTGTAGCCTTACCTCAGTAGGTAAGGAGGTGGGGAAACCAGCTGTTATTCTTAGTGACAATGTTCAATAGTGTAAGGCAGTTATTACCATGTCCCCTAAGAAGGACACACATTTTCTTCAGCTTTTCCTAATATGGTTTACTGTGCTTTTAAACTCACATAATATTATATGGTATAGCACCATTCTAAGGACCAGCTTGTACATGAGGATAGTCCCAAACTGCTTCAGGACCTCTGAAGGAGTCCGGTTGTGCTTCAGTGGCGGTACAATATTGGTGAAAAAGCTATCCATG